CAAGTGCAATCTGTAAATACATTTGACCAAACATATATAAACCTCAAAGTCTCAGGATACGGCAGCACATAAGTGAGAGTGTCTCCTCCAGTGCTGCACACGGTGGGCTACGCACTCTCTCCTTGGGTTACCTCTCAAGTTGATGATGATGAGGGACTGACATACAGATAAAGTCAGGAAGTGTTGGGGAAGGCCTTCTGATTCACCCACTGGGGCTGCTTGTTCTCTTGTTCTCAGGGGAGATAAAGAGACAGAGTAGGAACTGAAATGGGCAACTCCCCACAGCAGAACAATGTACACTGTTGCAAAGATTATTGTTTTCGGCCTTACTGCGAGCAGATTTTGACTCATAGTGAGATCCCAAAGGACAGAGTAATGATGCCAGATAGCGTTTCCTAGGATACAATCTTTAGAGGAACAGATCAACAGGTTTTCATCTTGTAGAGCTGGTTCAACGGGTCAACTTTTTGTTTAGCAACCGAGTCTCATTCCACCAGAGCTCCTGTCATCATGATCATTGCTGTTGTTGTTGGGTGCCATGGACTTGGTCCTCGCCCACGGCAACCTTACCCACAACAGAACACAACACTGCCTGGCCCTGCGCCATCCCCGGGCTTAGAGCAGAGGAAGGTGGAGGAGGGGCACTGGTGTCGGGGAGTGGATGCAGTTGCTGAAGTACCTGGTGTCCAGTTGGGCACCACCAGGGAGACCTCGGAGAAGAGTTATCAGGAGGAGGGGAAGGACTCGGAGCCGCTGAGATTTTAATGGAGTGAACCTCATCTTAACTTGGATTGCAATAGCAATGATCTTGTTTCCAAAGAAGGTAACCCTTCTACCAAGATACCACGTATCTTTTTGAAGCGCACAATTCAACGCATGGCAGCTTCCCATTTTGCTTAGGCTCAAGCTTCAAAATATCTAACCCTGCTCTCCGTGGGCAACTTCAGCCATCCCTTACCCTGCACACTCAGCCACCAGTAAACACTGGTCTTCTTCTGTCCTCGAAGGCACCACTCCTGCAGCTACATCCATCCGTTGCTTCTCTAGCAAACTCCCTGCCCCCAGATTGCCCATCTGCCCCTTTCCCCAACAACCACTTTCTCATCTTCCCAAGATCTGCTTAATGGCATTTCCTCAAAAATAGTTCACTCCATCTAATGTAGGCTCCTAACCTACAGTCCCCTAGACCGTCCCTCCTCGCGTCTAACACACTTGAGAGGCTTACAGTGACTCGTGTAAAGCCCTTCTCCCCACTAAACAATAGATCCCATAAAAGATGGCTTGGCCTCTACCCTCTTTCATGTCCGTAGCCCCAGCTACAGCTCAGGGCTGGGCACACAGCCTGTGCTCGCTCAGGAGCTCCTGAATAAACAATAGATGAACGAATGATACCGACAGTGAGAGAATAACTGCAATGGAAAGTTCTCCTGTGATATTCACTAGAGGTTCGGGGAGGAATTTTTCAAGAAACAAAACAGTTATTCATGAAAGAGGGAACTTCTGAGCTGTCTGCTTTGCTTTTCTACCTGATTTCAGACTATATATATATGTTAAAATGGAAAAGACTATATATATAGTTAAAAGACTATATATATATATATACACACATATATATGTTAAAATGGAAAAGAATGTTGCACAGAGTGAGAAGACCCCATCTAGGCCTGACTCACCCAAATGTGTGTTCTTTACTCTCAGTTTCCTCATTTAAAACATGCCGAGGAGACCCCTCATTCCAGCCCCTGGGCTTGGCGAGTAAGGCTCAGTTAGGAGACTTCCGTGGCCTTTCGAGTTGACTCAAGCTTGCGGGGAGCACAGGGATGCCAGCCCAGCCGGCTCGGCAACACCCACTGGAAGGCAAATGCTGCCACCTGGTGGGCGCTCGAGGGCCAGGGGTAAGCATGCCTGGTGAAGGGATCGCGTGAGGGTGCAGACTTTGGAAAAGAGAGTGGATTTTTTAAAAACGTCTTTTTTGAAAGCAAGCAACGTGTTTTCTTTTATGTCGTAAAGTGTTCTTTTGGAAAGATTACATGTGCACACATAGGATGTAGGCTTGTTACATCAGTTACCTGTCTAATTCGTCAGAGTTAAGGAATAAAAACACTTTGAAGAGTTTCTAATAAATGATCTCTTTTAATACTCTGATTTCTGTTTTTTTAATAGTCAAAATTCTAATACTTACACATTCCAAATAAAAATAACTTTACAGCACACACAGTATGCTAAGACTCCTGAAGAGCGTATACAAAGTAGATTCTGGCCTTGGCATGTGCCTTCGAGAGTAAGTAAGAGTAGCTAGAGTATGCTCGTGGGTTCAGAATCTCCAGGCCATCTTGAACATGCCTTTACTCTGAGAAAATTGCTTCATTATTTCTGGGTCTCAGTTGCCTCATCTGCCAAAAGACGGGACTAAATTAGGTGACATCTCATAAGGACATAAAACTTTGCCCAGAAAATGCATTTCAAGACCATCCAATGCCAGCCAGGGTACCAGCTGACCAGGTTTCAGGCTGCTCCCACCCACGCAGTTCTAGAAGACACCCCTGATGGTGCTAGTGTCAAAACAACATATCTGTCTTCCCTACAGAAACGGGATCCAAGTTCCTCCGGCCCCACCTTTCCCCTGCCCTCCCGAGCTTCCTCACACCCATTCTTCTTAGCTCCCACCCCTGAGGGCTGCTTCCCAGATGGCTTTCCTGGACCAGGATCTCTCTTCCTTTCCGCTCATCCTGCCCGGGACTCTACTCCATAGTCATCGCAGCATCGACAATAATAATGGCTGTCTTGTTGCATGATGTCCATGTGCCAGGGGCTGCTCTCGAGGGCGCTGTGCATGGTGAGGCACCTTATTATGTACCGCGGCATGAAACACTGGCCGGTCCAGTACTGCGCCGTCCCTAACACGTCTGATTCCATGTCGCAGCCACGGTGTCCATCTCTCTGGTGGAGGCAGTCGGTGAGAACACTGACCCTTTGCTGGACTGAGGATGGTGTCCTTTTCTAGGGACGAATTTCTCCTGACGACAAGTATGGGACTTGAGACAAAATCTCGACATCCTCCCTCCGAATGAGCATTCGGGCTGTGCTTCATCCTAGAGGGATTACTTCACTCTTCTGCTGGTCCATGGTGCTGTCAAGATTCACCTCCGCTTCCCGTTTTCCAACCGGAGAGGCCCATCTTCGGGCACTAAATCAAACAATATTCGACTGCTATTCATAGGACCTTCGGTGGCTACTCCCTCACAAGCGACCCGCCCATTTCTTCTTCCTACTCTGTTGGGAAAATGGCGGGAGCCCTGGTGGGAGAGTGGTTATGCCTTACGCTGTGATCCACAGAGTCAGCAGGTCGAAACCACTAGCAGTTCCAAGGGAGAAAGACTGCGCTTTCTACTCCCACATGGGCTCACTGTGAGTCAGCATTGGCGTGACGGCAGTGATTGGGTTCGGTTCAGTCTCTGAGTCAAAAAGCTCCACTAGGATTGGTTCACCCTGGGAAGGGGCAGGCTGGGATTTTCAATACCAGTGGCCTAGCTTCCCGCGTCACGGCTGCATGCAAGCCACTGCGCATGACTAACTGACCAACGAGTGGGGAGGCACTGCTCTCATCAGGCCTTTTCCCCAATTCTGTGTAGTTTTTCCCCTAAATGTTCAGATTGCTTACAAGTCTTCCTCCGGGACATTCCACCAGCACCCAGTCAGTCCAAACGTCAGCTCTGAACCTTCCCACAGATATTCTTCCACCTTACTCTCACCTACAATTCCAGTCTCAGCAGCCCAACAGGGCAGCTCAACCCTGCCCGAGGGTGGCCAGGAGTGGGCATGGGCTCGGTGACAGTGAAAGCTTGGGTTACAGGCCCCGTTGCAGTTCATTTTATCACGGTTCTCCCAGGGTTCGAGATCGATTGCCTAAGAAAACCAAAACACAGACTCACGCCCACCGAGTCAACCCTGACTCACAGTGACCCCATAGGACAGGGTAGAACTGCCCCCTGGGTTTTCCGAGACTGTCACTCTTTACAGAAGTAGGAAGCTTTAGTTCGTCTTTCTCCAGCAGGGCAGCTGGGGGGTTCGAACTGCTAACCTCGTGATTAGTGGCCCAACAAAATCTGTCAGCTCCAGGTGCTGACAGCTCCATCCCCACTGCCTTTATTCCTTCGACCTGGACCCTGGTTCAAAGTCGTAATTGCCCTTCCAGCATCATTGTAGCTGGAGTGTGTTGCCGTCTGCTCTTCAGTGAGGGCTCATTCCAAACTCACGAGCAGAACAGGCTCAACACGACCCAGCCCCCTTTCTGTTCTTGACCAAGTGTCTTAAAGCTGCTAGCCGCACACTCCTCGTCTCTGCGTGTAACACCACCCCTTCATGTGTGCACAGTAGCTACCCATGTTAAATAAAGGAATTAATCCAATAGTCTGGTCATAGTTCAAGGTAATCAAAAGGACATCCTAATCATAAGATAACAGAAGTTACAAGGATTTTTTTTTTTTAATAATATATCATTTCCTTGCTCTCGGGACATGAAATCTCAGTTCTGGAGTTTCTGGTACTAATTTACTTCCATGGTAAATCAGACCTTCCTGAAGCTGATGATACCCTATCACAAGTCTACTTAACTTCTAAAACTATATAATACACTGCACCAGATAATGATGGCATATTTCAAGGGTCTAGATGAAAGTAAAGAATTACTCACTCAAAATTAGAAGTTAAAATAATGAACTTAATATAGAACTTACCCTATTATATTTAAGATAAAAAATATCCTCAAGCAATACCCAGGGAAGTCAGACATTAATTATATTTTTTTAAAACCCACCCAATTATACATAATTTCATGCTAATCTGAATGATGCCATTTTTCTTTGGACATGCATAGCCCAGATAGAAACACCCCAATAATTGTCTATAAAAAGCCCCAAGAAAGCGTCCGGGCCCAGCCTTCCATCCTCCTTAGACGTTACAGCCACCCAGAGGCAGCAGGCGCACCTTTCCCTCAGACCATGTCGCTCCGGTTCTCTAGCGGATCCAGGCACATCTGCTTACGGTCCAGCACCGGCTCCGTCCGCCCACCCAGCGGAGGTGCAAGCTTTGCGGGCAGCAACGCATGTGGCAGTTCTGCTGCCGGAAGTGGCTTTTCCTGCGTCCTGGGAGGGGGCTTGGGCAGTCCTGCTGGCGGGAACCATGCTGGTGGTGCCCTTGGGAATGCTGTGTGTGTTGGCTTTGCTGGAAACGAAGGAGGGCTCCTCTCTGGGAATGAAAAGGTGACCATGCAGAATCTTAATGACCGCCTGGCGTCCTACCTGGATAGTGTGCGAGCTCTGGAGGAGGCCAACACGGAGCTGGAGAGAAAAATCAAGAGCTGGTATGAAATGTACGGGCCTGGATCCTGCCGGGGACTTGAGCACGATTACAGCAGGTATCACCTCACCATCGAGGATCTGAAGAATAAGGTGAGAGCCCCCAAATGTGGAGCTAGTCCAAATGTTTGTGAGAACTGAGTGGCCTAGCAGAAGGCATAGGTCTGCAGCTCAAAGGGTCTCACGGCCGCTCTTTGTGGTTTCTATTGAGTTACACAAGTGTTGACGATTCCTTTGGATAAATAACTCCACCTTCTAGTTTAGAGCAAGCATCTTGCTGGATATGTTTCAATGGATCTGAAATGTGACTGGCTCGGCTGTTAACAGCAACAAATCTAGAGGTTCGAGTCCATGCACAGGCTCCTCAGAAGAAAAGTTTGGTAATCTTTTTTCTAAGAAAAAAAATTAAAGCCCTCCCCAAAATGGTATGGGGCACAGATCTACTCTGACCCACGTAGGACATCGATGAGTCAGAATCAGCTTACAAGCGGTAGAGTCGTCCCATTTTCAAAGGCCCATTTGGCAGTACCTTCAGAGATAAGAGAGTAGTCCATACTAATGTGATAACGTGAGAAGAAATAAAACCTTATCTGTGACTTTTTTTAAATTACATTTTAAACATTTGGATTGTTAAGGAAGGCAGAAAATGCACGATGCAGAAGGTCAGGCCCTGAAATAATCGTGCGGAACTGCACGTGTCTGTTGTCTCCTCCCCTTGGCTCTTCCCCTAGCTCATCTCGTCCACGACTGCGAACGCCAACGTCATTCTGCAGATTGATAATGCCAGGCTGGCTGCAGACGACTTCCGGCTCAAGTAGGTGATCGCAAGCGATGCAAAGGATGGTGCTCTAGGGAACGTATCCTAAAGTTGCACTTGGAACGCAAGTAGCATAAACTATAACTTGCAAGATAAAAGGAACCTGGGATCTGCGTTATGATCCAGTGTACTACAAATGGCGAGCTGTTGATTGCATTCTTGGGCCACTGCCTTTCTACGTCTGCCTGAAAGAGGGCCCGGTGCAAAGTAGATGTACAGGAACGATCTGTTGACTGAGTGCATGTGTTAACTGAAGCGAAACCCTAAACCTCTGTGCTATTCTTTTGTTGGAATGTGCTGCTAGAGCAGTGGTTCTCAACCTTCCTAAGACCACGACCCTTTCATACAGCTCCTCGTGTTATGGTGACCCCCAACCATAACATTATTTTCATGGCTACTTCATCACTGTAATTTTGCTACTGTGATGAATCTAGTGACTTATGTGAAAGGGTTGTTCGACCCCAAAAGGGGTGGCGACTCACAGATTGAGAACCGCTGTGCTAGAGTGGGTGGGAGTGAATGGCAGCTGATTCGCCTGCACAGGACCGGGCAGGGAGTGGACGAACTTTCTTTGTGTGTGTTTACTGCAGTTAGATCCTAATTTGATTTCTAATTTTCTGCCTAAAGCAATTAAGGTTTGATTTTTTTCGAGCCCTTGAGGTCGTCAAGCGGGTACTAAACTCCTGCTAATGTCGTGCAAGGTATGAAAATGAGCTCGCCCTTCACCAAAGCATAGATGCCGACATCAATGGGCTCCGGCGAGTCCTGGATGAGCTGACGCTCTGCAGGACCGACCAGGAGCTGCAGTATGAATCCCTGAGCGAGGAGATGACGTATCTCAAGAAGAACCATGAAGAGGTAGGAGAGGCTTTCCTTAGTGAAAGCACAGTTCGGTCCCTCTGAAAAGTTTGACAGATGACAATAATAACTTATGTTCATTGGGATCACTCAAGCAATGCCAGGGTACGTAAAGAATTTCATCACCCCCCACTCGGACCCCTCTAGCCCCACCCTCCCTAAGTAATAAGTCTTGATGATTTGATCTGTGTCCATACATTTTTTGACTGCTGTAATAATCCACCCATTTGAAAACAGGGCATGCCTTCAAGCTACATTATTGCATTGGTAGGACTGTCTTGGGGCCAGCCTTTTCACAAAAGACCTCTCTGTCTAGGAAAGATGGCAGCGTTCCTTCTACATAACATGAACCTCTGGGCTATTTTATGATTAAACCGTGCAGTAGAACTCCCTGATGTTAACATTTAACTATGCACAATCTTAACCGGAACATTGCACACCCAGGTGGTATAATGGATGACACGGTGGGCTAACCACAAGGTCAGTGGTTGGAACGCACCATCCGTGTGCCTCTGTTTCCTCGGGAGAAAGATGAACCTGTCTGCTCCCATAATAATTTACAACCTCAGAAATCCAGAGGTCCAGTTCCCCTCTGTACTACAGAGCCCCTGTGAGTCTAAGTTGACTCAATGGCAGTGAGTTTTACGTTGAGTTTAATATCAGACAGCTCCAAAAAAATACCCACCAAAAAAAGTTATCACCAAAGAAACACACAAAATCCCTTAAAACAATGGAATATGTATATTATTATTATTATTATTACACATACACACACTATGACAGGCAATATCCATCACTGGTTGGAGATGACGAAACACCAAGTCTACTTGCCTCAAATGAGAACATGATGGGAGAAGAGAAGAGAAGGGATATTAAAAAGAAAGGAAGAAAGTTCCTGAGAAACAGGAGAAGGAAGAAGTCACAAGGCAGCGCTCTGAAAGGGTTGGTGGCGAGAGCGTGAGCCTAAGACCCAGGAGTTGTGGGGAGAGTGGTGTCAACACACAAGATTGACATCGGGGAAGGCGGAGGAGAGATTGCTTACCTGCAGCCACAGCAGGTAAAGAAGCTGAGGCCCAGGTTCACAGCCGGCTGCACCGACCCCTTTAAGGACATCCCAGTAGAAGAAGCTGGCTATCTTTGAATGCACGGAGGACAGGGGGAAAGAGCTACACACATCTCAACATGCCCTGAGCGCTTTCCCTTTGCCACGCTTGCCCATGACCAACATCCTTAATGATAACGTCAAGCAGCTGATTTCCAAGCTTCTAGAGCAACAAGAATTTCTTTCTTCAAATGAAGTATTACACAAAACCCTGAACCAGGAGCATACATTAATCAGTGGTTTCCTCAGGCAAAGTACTGGCTTTTGATGGACATTGGCAAGCCATTTTAAAAGTGGCTAAGAAGTCATTTTAAGAAATGGTTTGAGCGAGCAGAGATACCATGGTAAGAACCCACTGAAAGCAATTCAGATGAAAAGGTTACCGACTTGAAGGACTTAAGGCCAGGCCTTTGGTCTGCGTGCCGGCCTAGAAACCCATTCTCTGGTTGGGTCAGAGAGCTCACTGACTGACCTGGGACATGTCCTACCGCAGAGGCCACAGAGAAGGAACTCCGTGGCTGAGGCGTCCCCGGCCAAATCCTGGCCCTTCCCAACACCACACACCTTAGGGAGTTCCTCTGCCTCAGCCTGCTCCTATTCCCTAACCTGTAAAATGTGTCTCATCAGATAGGCTTCACACCTGTCCATACTCCTGGCCATCGATTTGATTCCGGACTCATACAACCCCTGTAGGACAGAGTAGAGCTGCTGCACCAGGTTTTTAAGGCTGTAAGTATTCACAGCAGCGGCCTGCCACTTCCTGCAGATCGCCTGGTGGCTTCAAACCACTGACCTTTCAGCTAGCAGCCCAAATCTCCCCCCGCCCCCCACTGCACCTTCAGGATTCCAACTCACACCCAAGACCCCACAGCCATGAAAGAGACTCCAGCTCACACAGCCGATAGGGTTTCTGAGGCTTTCTAAGTCTTTATGGGCGATGATTCTCTCTCCCACAGAGCGGCTGGGGCAATGGGGGGGAACACAGCACTGACCCCACACGGGGCCAACAGGGCTCCTTCCTCACAGAGATGCGGCAAGACTGAAGCGGGTTAGCGCTTGGCAGCTGTTACCTTCTCAAATCAAAGCGTCCCGAGCGTAGGGGATTTTCCCTTCTTTGTCCACCACTCCCTTCCGTCAAGAGCTCTCTGGACGACGGTCAAACATCGTGTGTTTAATGACCATCTGGCTCTTGGCATCTCAGCCTGGTTTAGAATAGGGTAATGCTCTGTCCTTGCTGTTGGGTTTGCTTGTGTAATTAGCAAAGGGGCAGCTAATTAAATAGATGACGGGCATGACAGCAGACAGAATAAGTCGATTAAAACTGTCTGTTCCATAAATTGTACACTGGCATCGAAGCCATCAACCTTAAGACAGAATGTTTTCGAAAAACTCGTCTCCGGCTGCAGGAGGACACAAAATGCCCCTAAAAGTCACACTCGCGTCCCCCTCCCAGGAAATGAAGGTTCTGCAGTGCGCCGCGGGGGGCAACGTGAACGTGGAGATGAACGCGGCCCCTGGCGTGGACCTCACGCTTCTGCTCAACAACATGCGCGCCGAGTACGAAGACCTCGCTGAGCAGAACCGCAGGGACGCCGAGGACTGGTTCAACGAAAAGGTGAGGCCCGTCCAGGTAGCCCCGCCCTTACAGTGGGACAGACCCCCACCTAACCCCTGTATGCCTGGCCTTGCAGAGTGCCACTCTGCACCAGCAGATCTCGGATGATGCTGGGGCGGCCACCTCTGCCAGGACCGAGCTGACGGAAATGAAGCGCAGCCTGCAGACCCTGGAGATCGAGCTGCAGTCCCTCCTAGCAACGGTAGGTGAGGGGGGGGTGGGGGTGGCCTGGTGTGGATTTTGTGATACTGAAATATCTAAGAGGCAACACTGCCCTTCTCCATTACATGTACCTGCAAATACCTAGCTGAGTGCAGAAGAGAGAAGGAGAGATGGGGACATTCAAAAAGAGAGACGGACAGACAGACAGCATTTCCTTCTTCCCTGAGATCAGTGCAAGTCCTGGGTTCAAGTCCACTCGGAGGTGCTTTGGAAGACAGGCCTGGCGATCTCTGTCAGAAAAAGGAACCATCAAAAAAATACTGTCACCTACAAGTCTGTCTGCCACACGTGGGGTCCCCAGGAGTCAGAATCGAGCCAATGGCAGCTGGCTGACTAGAGGTCACAGAGGAGGTCCTTCTCAGTCAGCAGTCGCTCGCCAGGTGTCCATTTGATGAAAATAACCAATGCATCACTTAGTGCCTTCCTTCAAGCAATTCCTCCCTGCCCCACAGAGCAAGCAGCAGCCGGCTTGCTCTACCTAAAAATTAGGTGGCAGGTGGAACATCCTGTGGCCGAACCGGGCAGAGCCAAACCCCCAACGTCTCCTCCTATGGGGAAAGGCATATTGAAAGGCATATCGTGGGGTCCATCAGTCAGCCGAAAGGAAGGTACACATTGGATCCCCAAAGAGTTGTGTCAGCCCTTTCATCCCCAGTGCCTGGGGAGATGCCCAGTCCTCACACACCCCACGGAACCTAGAGTCGTCACAGAGACAACCCCAAATCACTTGTCTTTCTGGGGTGTGAGCTAGCATCACCCAAAATGGCTGACTTGGAAATCGATGGCAACCACGTGGTCCAAGGGTTCTCTGTCTCCACAAGAGGTTTCAGATTCCGTGAAAACACAACGAAAGAGAAGAGCGGCTCTGATACGAATTCGGTGAGACTTGAAAGAAGAGATGAGTCAAATCAACGGCAAGATTATCTGACGCAGCCACCCAGAAAACACTCCACTGTGCTCTTGTTTACCGTATACTAGTCGGAGACTTGTTGCCCCCATCAAAGGACTCCAACCTAATCTCCCCTTTATCGCGACGGCCAGATGGGTCCCCAGACCCTCCTTGCCTCTTTGGGCCTCAGGAGCCCTTCTCTTCCCCCGTCCCTGCCTTCCTGCAACCAGAACCCTAAGGATCCTGTTCCTGCTGCTACACCCTGCGTGAGAATCCTACCCCTCATGGCTATTTTGAAGGAAACGAGTTGCCGAGGTCCTCGGGCAGAACTGTAAGTGTTTGCACACAGAAAGGGTGTTGTAGAGGAGTTAGAGTGCGTGCAGCAGCTCAGGTGCATGAGGTGATCCATCCAAGCCCATTTAACACCTCACACCGCTGCGGCATCGAACGCGGGGCCTATAGAGGCTGACTTCCACAGCGGAGATGCTTATGGTGACAGGTGGAGTGCTCAAGTCCACTCTTCTACTGTTTGTCAACCCGACATGACCTCAATATAGAAACCTCTCACATGCTTCCTGTAATAGCCAAGCTCCCAAGGCCACCCTGTCCTGCTTCCTTATCTACCATAGCAGAGGGCTGGGGACGCGGATGCGGTTCCCTGTGACTTACAAGAGTCTTTGGGGAAAAGACGCCGTAGGGTTTCCAACAGCTGGTCCGTCAGAAGTTGACCACCGGGCCTTGCTTCTGAGGCACCTCTAGGGGACCTCAAGCCTCCATCCTTTGATTAGCAGCCAGGTGTGTCAACCACTTGGACCACCCAAGAGCTCGACCAGAGTCCCTAAAGAGGAATGTCATGTGAGGACACGTCATCTGAGAAATTGCAGTTCTGAACGGCCGAGCAAACACCACGTGCAGTGCTGCCCTGAGTCCCTCGCCATGTGTGGCCTCGCCCTTCCTGTTATCACCCTGCTGGCCCTCTCCTCTTACGCCCTGGAAAGCCAGCAGCACCCGCGTCACGCCCAGGGTGGTTCTCAGCCCATGAGACCGATGTCCTCCCTTCATGACGACTATTATATAACGTCCCCTTTGCAATCTTAGCATGAAACCAAGAGATAATATAAATTAGCAGTACAGAAACAACCTGAAAAACAAATAGGATAAGTTGTAAGTGCATTAAAAAGGGAAAAATGACAACCGCAGGGAAGTGTTTTAAAAAGAAATGTGCATACTACGCAAAGGCCTGGGCCCAGACTGCTCTAGAACATACCGCGAAGCAGCCAGAAGCTTGTACTTTCTTAGAATAATTTTTTTATTTTCAACACTGTAGACTCAGGAGTCACTCCATAAGAGAACAAAAATGAAAGAGTGGAAGTCTGGGTGGGCCCAAAGATAATTCCCAAGGTCAAGGGCATTAATAACTACCCAGACAGATTGGCATACGATAAGGGAGAGAGGAAAATTACCTTGATTTGAGAAAGGATAGCATGTTGAGACAAATGACAGGCTGTGGATATCAAAATGAGGCTGGATCATACTTAATTAGAATAGAGTCCAAATCATGGCCTGTGCTGTCTTATGAGATGGAGGAGCAACAGAGTGTCCAGAAAGAATACCTCGTATCCCAGGTGAAGACAGTCATCCAACCTCACGTGCTCACTTAGGAGGCCTGTGGGGAATAGCAGAGAGTTGAGGCAGAAAGGCCTTGGACAAGTGGTTGGGTAGAACCTCTGGTTAGCAGAGAAGAAAGACTGAACAAGAGCACGCAACCCCAAAGAAGCAAGAAGTGATCATTAGTCAGGCTGGAAACAACATGGCCCAAATCCACCATCATCAAGTTGATTCCGACTCACAGCAAACCCTCTATAGGGTATCTGAGACTATAAATCTTTAGGGGCACAGACAGCCTCATTTTCTCCCAATGAGCAGCTAGTTGAGTTTGAACCACTAGCCTTACAGTTACCAACTCAATGCCTAACCTATAGCACAGCCAGGGCTCCTTCATAATACGGCATGCTACCTACAAATCGTGATTATCTAGTGGAACCAAGTCCCTCAGAAAAGGGTCACTTATCCACCTGTCCAGTGTAGGTCATGTCATCCAGCATGCTTGTGCAGGTCATGTCATCCAGCATGCTTGTGCATGTCATGTCATCCAGCATGCTTGGTCCTCACCTAGTAAATGCCTGTGTCATGTCCCTCCCCTCATTACACTTGATTGTGACAAGACCCTCAGACACTCGGAGCTCAGAATCACAGATCTGCATTTCATCCTTTGATGTGGTATCTTGTGTGTCCACAGAAACACTCCCTGGAGTGCTCCCTGACCGAGATCGAAGGCAACTACTGCACTCAGCTCGCCCAGATCCAGGCTCAGATCGGGGCCCTGGAAGAGCAGCTGCACCAGGTCAGGACCGAGACCGAGGGCCAGAAGCTGGAGTACGAGCAGCTCCTGGACCTCAAGGTCCACCTGGAGAAGGAGATCGAGACCTACTGCCTCCTGATCGATGGAGAAGGAAAGTAAGTAAGACCATGTGAGAGGTGAGCTCTTACCTGTCTCACATCACAGCCACGTGCTCCCGTTCACTCGCCATACTTCCAAGCCATTTGCTCTCCCCCTGCAGAAAAGCAGGACTCGCTTGCTTCTACTAGCATCTCTCCCATTTGTCATACGTCACAGTATCTTCCTCATCTGCCTTGGGCCACCACAATAGTCAGTTCGGAAGATCCCCCGCCCCCCTCCAATTTGTCTTCCATGTTAATTGTTGTGAATTTCAACATTCTCCCCCTTCCCAGATTTTATTGCCTCTTCAGTTCTTTCCTAATATCACTTCCCCTGTCTCTGGGGGACACAGTTAAGCAGTCAGTTATTAACTAAAGGCTGGCAGTTCGAAATCACCCAGAGGCACTTCCAAAGAAAAGCCTGGGAATCTACTTCTGAAACAGCCATTGGACACCCTCCAAACGGCAGCTCTGCTCTGAAACCCGGAGTCACTGTGGGTCAGCAGTGACTCAAGCACAGCCATGTCTATGTTGTCCGTCCGGGAGGTGGGGCATGCAACCCTCCAGGATCCACGCATACATACAGATATGTTTATTTTATAGACTATAGCTTTCAACTGGGCTTACAAAAAGTGAATGGTAATAAGCTGTTGGGGGGGATTGTTTTGTTTTGTTTTTGAATATTCTCTATGTAGATTACATTTGGGAGAGAGATGAAGCTTTTTACTCCCGTCAAGAAACCTGTCCTGTAGTGTAACTATGTGCTGGAATTGACTGGATGGCAGTTGAGTTTGGTTGGGGGTTTTATGTCAATTGCATTTCGTTTCGTTCCACCCCTGTAGATAACACTTCAAATATTTTTCTCCATGGCAGAGAAAAAACTTAAGCTCTCTTTGGGCACTTAAAGCTTGCTTGAGTTCCTGTTTATTAATTCATTGAATGTTTTTAAGTGATAGTAAAAGGAAGTGTAAGAAATAACCTTTTCCTTTTTACAGTTCATGTGCCAAATCCAAGGGCTTTGGATCAGGAAACTCTGGGAATATATCGAAAGGTAATAAGATCTACTCCTCCTATAGCAAGAAAGTGCTTTTATAATGATGGAAATCACACATTGTATCAATAGTCTATATCTAAGTAATTTTAACTAAAGTGCTCTACCTTTAGACTAGTATTTTAAATGACTAAAATAGTCCAAAACTATTATTATGAATCTATATTTAATCTTTCACCAAATATAGATACATATAGATGTACCATATAGGCTTGAGTATAAGCCTAGTTTTGCAGCACATTTTTAATGTAGTTTTTGTGGTAAAATTAGGTGCCTCGGCTGATATTCGGGTCTGCTTATACGCGAGTATATACAGTAGTTAGATTACAACCAGCAATGGGATTCTTTGTCCTATAATCTTTTCGGTTGAATATGTCTACTCAGATATGTTTTATTTCTAGATTTACCCAAAACCACACTGGTAAAGACGGTGGTTGAAGAGATAGACCAACGTGGCAAAGTCCTTTCATCAAGAGTTCACTCGATTGAAGAAAAGACATCCAAAATGACCAATGGGAAGACAGAACAAAGAATTCCTTTCTAGTGTCCTTTCAGAGAAACACTAACGTTGAGGGGAAGGATCCTGCGTAACTGCATCCTTACAAATATCAAGCGAGGATAATACTTTCTGTTCTTAAAGATAAGTTACTTAACACAAAGCATCTATTTTCCTAAGTTGGCTTTCCAAGATGTCAGGTGTTTGTCTTCAAATAAATAAAGTTGGTGTTCACTCTACTTCCAGTCTATGAGTAAATAACACTTCGTCATGTTTTCATGGATCCAACTTAAAAGGTCGTGGTGGTGCAGTGGTTAAGCATAATGGTTAAGTGCTCAGCTGCTAACCAAAAGGTTGGGAGTTCAAACTCACCAGCTCTGCATGAGAGAAGGGCCTGGGGGTCTGCTGCTGTCAAGATTACAGCCTTGTGGCTAATAGGTGTGTGAAGAAATGCTTGGGATCATTAGCCATCAGAGAGATGCAAATCAAAACAACAGTGAGATATCATCTCACCCCAGGATTAATAGCAAAGGTTTAAAAGAAAACAACAAATGCCCCTGAGGGTGTGGCGAGACGAGACACTTCAGCCATTGCTGGTGAGGCTACAAGATGGTGCAGTCGGTGTGGGAAGTGGTACAGTGTATCTTTGAAAAGTTGTAAATACATGAGTGAATACAGAATACATGTACAGTAGTGCACACAGGGACAAAGTGATGAAAACGTCTGAGCCCCAGCCAAACACCTTGAGGAATGAGGCACTGGACCTGGGGACTTGAGACTATAGCCACGGGTGATATCTGTGATGTCAAGGTCATTGGCATAGCCTAGTCCACAAAGTCTGGGTTCTAATCCTACTTTGATGAACAGAGACTGAGGTCTTACAAATTTGCCGGCATCCATTTAGGGCACAACTACTGGTCTCTCCCCATGAAGAACAAAGAAGAGTGAAGAGACTCTAAGAGGTGAGAAAGCAATTAGTCCAAAGGAAGAACAGACCACACAAACCCCCGTCACTGTGAGCCTAACAACAGAACAACTAGCTGGTGCCCAATTACTACTCTGAACGGGGTCGTAATAGGAGGTCTTGGATAGGCTGAGGACGAAATGTAGAACGAAATCATAAAAATAAAAACAAACATGTTTCATAGAGCCTGGTTGAACCCCTTAGACTATGACCCTTAGATACCTGGACCTGAAACCACCCCTGTGATTCAACTTTCAGCCAAACACTAGAGAGGCCTATAAGGTGGACACGAACCCCAGGGAGGCAATGCACTCATTATAGCCATCAACTACACGGGATCAAAAGGACAGCATCCATGCAGTGATAAAGCGCAGAAGGCAGGAAGGGACAGGGGGAAATGATGAATGGAAAGAGAAAACTCAGGGGTAAGTGAGAGGGTGCTGTTATATTCTGTGGATTTCAATCAGTGTCACAAAATAAAAGGTTTACATATCGTTGAATGGAAAACTAATTGGCTCTGTGAACTTCCACCCAATATCTCAATCTCTCTCTCTCTCTCTCTCTCTCTCTCTCTCTCTCTCACACACACACACACACACACACACACACACACACAGAGGATTATAGCCTTGGGTTCCCTATGGAGCAGTTCTACTATGTCCTATAGGGTGGTTTCAATCGTACACAACAGCACGAAATATATAGAAGATAAAGTGCTTTTCACTCTGGTTTCAGTAACAGTCCATCCTACATGGGATGCAATGACATGCGAACATTTTCACTAAGCATGCTCTCTTGGAGCCCTGGTTGTGCATCGGTTCAGGTCGTGCGCTACTAACCACCAGGGCAGCAGTTCGATCCACCAGTCACTCCTTGGAGAACGATGAGGCGGTCTGCTCCCGAGCAGAGCAGTTCTCTTCTGTCCCATAGGGTTGCAGTGAGTTGGAATCAACTCGAGGGCAATAGGTTTCATTTTTTCTTGGCATAATCTTTCAATCACATTACGTCTACAGGGAAGAGATCCTGATGGCACAGCGCTTAAGAGGTTAGCTACAAATCCAAAGGTTGGCAGTTGGAACCCCTGGCCACTCCGCTGGAGAAAAGACCTGGGGATTTGTTCCCCAAAAGACGACGGTCAGAACTCTACGAGGCGTTCTATTCTGTCCTCGAGGGTCGCTGGGAGTCAGCATCGGCTTCCGTGGCCATGAGTTTGAGTCGTCCACTAATGGCTGCTTCAATAGCTGGAAAACTTTCGACGCTCTTCTTTCACTGAAGAGTCCCACTGCTAAAGAGTACTTTGCTGGGATTTTTGTCTGTGAGTCTATCTCTCAATCTCCTGGGAATCCAGAAACGGGGGCCAGTCCACCAGTCCCCATCAGCAAACACACAGTTCTCTCTGGAAAGATCCACAGTGAGCCCCATGTTAGTTAATTTTCTCCAAGCTCAAGAGTCAACAAATCTCATTCTGGGAAGCCCTAGATGGTCAGTATTTGAGGCTTTTGCCAGTCGGATGACCTACAGAACTCAGTCATAAACCAAAACCCATTGAGGTCAAGTCTGTCCCATCCTACAAAACAGAGTAGACTTAGCCCACACAGTAGCAGACTGCCACATCTTTCTCCCAAGGAGCTGAGCACTTAACCACTGCACCCCCAGGGCTCCTGAACTCGGCCACAGACACTGCCCAAATGAACGATAGTGGCTGTGTTCCAAGAAATCTTTATTTACAGGCATTGGCATTTGAATTGCAAGTAAGTCTAGGGGTCATGAAATATTATTATTCTTTTTTGCTTCCATTTAAAAAAATAAATACTATTCGGGGTACAAAAAGACCAGGCTAACTAGAGATGGCCCACCAATCCCCGCTGTAGGTCTCAAAGACTCATGAGTTGATTCCTATTACGGTTGTGTTGTTTTTCTGTCTTCCTGGAGCAAAACTTGTGGTTGGAATTCCCATCGAATATTAAATGACCTAAAGGCAGAGGGCTCCTTTTGGGCTTTTTTTGTGGTCTGAATCCAAGGAAAAGTTCCAGCGAGGGGAGGAATGCTGTCCCACAGTCATGTGGGACTTCAAAGAAACGGTAAATGATGGGCTAAGAACAGAAGCTGGAGCCAAAGACATCAAGTCGGGAAATACTATTCATTCACGGGGAAATGACCCTCCCAGATGGACGCTACAGAGCCAGCATATCCATTGTGGCACCTGGAACAAAGGGAGTCCTTTGTTCCAAAAAGCAGGAAGAAGGTGTGGTGAAAGGTACTGAATCAGAAAGCTTCTTCCATTCTTCCCTCGCCACATTCTTGAGTTCCGGTGCTTTGGGGTTTGCTATTTAATGCTATCCTAAGGAAAGACAAATGAAAATGTTAAGTTACCGGCATGATTTTCACCTTTCTTTTTGGTGCCATGTGATGCCCATTGCAAGAACGTGTGATTGGTGCACGGAATCCCTGAGATGATACATTTCAGATCTCAGACCTCACACATGCTTCTTTTCTACGTGTTTTGGCTGCTACCTGCCCAGCGTACAATATGACCCGGTTGTGGTTACTTTACTTTTCCATGTGCACACGTTCTACCAACACTCTCTCCTTTTGGCCTAGATGGGAAGGAGCAGGAACTCCAGGTTGCCCTATCTTTACCTTTCCTTCTTTGTCATTATTTCCAGCGTAACAGCTGGATAATAGAAACCGTACAAGAAAGTAGAGTCCCGGCTGTATGCGTGGCTGTTAACTGAAAGGCTGGAGGTTTGAGTCCATGCCTCGGTGCCTCGGAAGAAAGGCCTGGTAGACCTAATCCCCAAAGAACACAGACATAGAAAACCCTGGGGAGCACCGTTCTACACTGGCCCACCTGGTGACGCGATGAGCCGGAACTAGTAACCATCACCCAAGTAAGAAAGTGTACGTTGCGTTCCCCGGCCAGCCGTGTTTCTTAAACACCACTGCCTTCTCTCTGCATGCAAAGAAAACTGCGGTTTGCATGGAAAAGCCGAGCACCACTGTATGATACGCTGGTCATGTGTCAAATATGGCACCGGTTTGTTACTTTTAAGGGCCGGAATCATGATTCGTTTCTTTTATAAAGTGTTCTTCTTCACCTTCCTTGTTTGTCTTACTTTCCCCCAAGTGCTATTTTTTAAATCATTTTATTAGGGGCTCATACAACTCTTATCACAATCCATACATACATCAATTGTGTAAAGCACATTTGTACATTCATTGCCCTCATCATTCTCAAAACATGTGCTCTCCACTTAAGCCCCTGGCATCAGCTCCTCATTTTCCCCTCCCTCCCCGCTCCCCCTCCCTCATGAACCCTTGATAATTTATGAATTATTATTTTGTCATATCGTACACTGTCCGACATCTCCCTTCATCCACTTTTCTGTTGTCCGATGTCTCCCTTCACCCACTTTTCAGTCATCCATCCCCCAGGGAGGAGGTCACATGTAGATCCTTGTAATCAGTTCCCCCTTTCCAACCCACCCTCCCAGTTTTACCACTCACACCACTGGTCCTGAAGGGATCATCTGCCCTGGATTCCCTGTGCTTCCAGTTCCTGTCTGTACCAGTGTCATCCTCTGGTCTAGCCAGACTTGCAAGGTAGAATTGGGATCATGATAGTGGGGGGAGGGGTGTTTCTTTGAGCCTTCATCTTTCATTAAGCAGGGGGGAGGGGGGAGGGTGTTCTTTTGTCCAGGGTCAGTGATCTTTGAAATCTGTCCCTCTTCAAGAATAAGACCTTGGCAGTGACATATCGGACAAGTGGCTAACCTCTCGAAGCTGCAGAAAACGCCCACACCTCAACAAGACAAACAATTCGATTAAAAAGTTGGCAGAGGGGGGGGGAACAAGAAGCTAACAACAATGCGCATGGAAAGAACATGTTCTGAACTTGATTGTGGTGATGACTGCACAACTCTTCTTAATATGACTGAATGATTAAATTGTGTGATATGTGAAGTATATGCCAATCGCTGTTTTCTTGGAATTTGGCAGAGGACATGAATAGACACATTGCCAACAGGAAGCCAACAAGCATATGAAGAAATGCCCATGGCTATTAGCCATTCGAGAGGTGTGAATCAGGAAAACAGTAAGAGAGCACCAACCCCCAGCATACAGAGCAAAACTGGAAGATAAAAAGATGACCACCCATGAAGGGAGGCTGCAGAGCGAGGGGAAGCCTGGCACACTGCCGGGAGAATTATTAAACAGTACGACAGCTTTGGAAAGCAGGGGGCACTTCCTCAAAAAGCTGGGAATAGAAATCCGTATGGCCCAGCACTCCCCCCTACTTTGTATACATCCTAGAGAAATACACACGACACGAAGCAGTGCACGCACACCTATGTCATCACGGCTGTCCACAATAGCCCAAAGAGGGAAACAACGTAAATGTCCACCAGAGGAAGAGCAGGTAAATAACCCTTGGTGCACACGCACTACGGGCTATGGCACCAAGTGAAATAGTAGCAATGACTCTGCCAAACACCCCACTACATGGTTGAACCTGAAGGACATAATGCTGAATGGAATTCAGCATAAAGTGGCCTGATATCATACAAGCATAAAGCATAAAGCACAAGCATAAAGCATATTATAATATCATAGTCAAGGATAAAGTGACCTAATATCATACAAGACCACTGTGATAAAAAAAAAATCCAGAATGGGTTTTCACACCAACAGGTTAAACCCTCTCTGATTGGCAAGAGAGGGGAAGGGAAAGCAGGGCTGAGAAGTCATGCAGTGGGTGGGTAGACAAATGTTGCCTTGGGTTAAGGGCAAGGCAATAAGAGAGGGGCTAAGAAAAATCATGGAGGCGGGGGAAGATTGGGAAGCTTGCAAGAAGTCAAGGCAACAAAGGCAAATACCATTAGACACACAATCCTGCAGCGGTGGGGATCTGAGAGTAGATGATTAGACAGACACACAGGTTGAACAGGCGGCAGAGGGGTAGTGGGAGTACAGCCACAAACATATAGAGGTTTGGCCGAGGATATTTTGATATGTGTGTTTACCTTTGCTGAACATACACCCATGGATGTGGTGGAGCACACAGGGGACAAAGTTATGAAACCTTATTTGATATAAATAAACAACACTTTGAGGGAACAAATAGCTGGACCTAGAGGATCAGGACCACAGCTCTGGGATCACTAAGGTCAAGTAGCAAGCATCGTTCACACAGAGGAGTCCCTGGTGTCACAGTGGGTTACAAGTTGAGCTGCTAACCACAAGATCAGCAGTTTGAACCCTTCAGCCACTCTGCAGAGAGAGATGAGGCTCCAGCTCCCATAAAGATTTTCAGCCTCGGAAACTGAAAGCGGCGGTGTCTAGTTAGTCCTATAGAGTCACTAGGAGTCAGAGTCAACTCAAAAGCAGCGGGTTTGGAGGTATGTTGGAGTTCACAAGGACAATTTTCTCCTTTGGGAAGTAGTGGCCGGGATCTTAAGAACTCCTGAGCAGCCATTGAATTGCTCTTCCTCTGTCCAGGAGAAAGAAAAGTGAGAGATCAAAAGATACCTGGAATAATTAGTCCAACAGACTAACGAACCACACAAACATCAGTTTCCCTAACTTTGAGACCAGAAGAACTAGATGGTGCCCAGACGTCACTTACCAACTGCTCTGAAAAGGATCTTATTAGAAGGTCCTGGGTGGAGTGGGATAAAATGTGGAGTGGAACTCAAAATCATAAAAGGGGCCAAACTTACGGGTCAGAACAGAGACTGAGGGGACTTACCCTTGTGGTCTGGATCTGAACTCACATCCATGTTAGAATAAGAACCATTTCAGATCAAATGGGCAGCAGAGGAGTAGGAGAGAAAAGGAGTGGAAGTAGGAAACAGGGGAGGACAGGGGATAAATGAAGAGATGGGACTGCAGTGGAGGAGTTGAATCAGAAAGTCTGCAAATTGTTGAATATAAAACTATGATCTGCTCTGTAAACCTATCCCTAATTTATAATTTTTTAAAAGTTGTTTTGTTTTCAAAGAATAATATCTCAAACATCTGGAAGGGGTGTGTGTGTGTGTGTGTGTGTGTGTGTGTGTGTGTGTGTGTTTCACTCTACGGCAGTGGTTCTCAACCTTCCTCATGCTGTGACCCTTTCACACAGCTCCTCATGGGGTGGTGACTCCTCAACCATAAAATTATTTTCGTTGCTACTTCATCACTGTCATTTTGTGACTGTTATGAATCGGGCGACCCTTGTGAAAGGATCGTTCGACCCCCAAAGGGGTCACGACCCACAGTTCGAGAACCACTGCTTTAGGGTGTGCTCAGTTGCCTTCATAGGCAGCTGTCAAATAGTGGTCTCTTGGGGTCTCTTCTCTAGGACTCTTCAGCTTTCCAGAGAAGGGCTCAACCATCAAGGCTGCCTACACCCCTACAGGAGCCAGCGCTAATATGAAAATGTGGGGTCCCTTAAAGAATCATGGGAGGAAAAAAAGCTTAGTTGAAGGTACTAAAAGATAAATCTTTTCCTTTAGAAATATTTTTGTACTTGTCAGAGCGGCAATAACAATGCATTACATAATATGAAACTAACATTGAAAAAACTTCTATTTTGGTGTCATAATCTTATGTCACAATAAATTATAATACTTTATTAATGTGATGTCTTGATTGGTCATCATATTTTCTGGCTTGTTTTTCTGCAAATTCACTAACAAGTCATGAACATTTATATTTTTAGCAACTTCCTTTTCAATCTATCTAATGCGAAGTGATGTCAGTTGTTCTTGGCAAAAGTAAGGACTCAAATAAATTTTGGTAATAAGAAGAAAACAACTGGGTAGAGAGAGCAACATGAACCGAGGCAAAGAAGGGGCAAGTCGGGGAATGGTAAAATAAAAGAACAAACAGGCCTGGTAAGATAGAAGTTATGTCCAGAAATGTTTTAAATGTCATATAAAGGGGCTTCATGGAGTCTATACTCAACAGAGAAGCATTCACAAGAGAAGAGAAGAGATCCACCCTGGCTACATATGAGTGAGAGAGATCATTGTTTTCTATACCGAACTACCATTCAATCCTCACAACAACACAAGCAAGGTCCACATCTCCGAAATTAAAAAGCAAAGCTAAGGCTCAGAGGGAATGAATGGCCTTAGCATTAGTGACACAGCTAGAAAGTGTCAGAGCTGAGGTCACATTGCTGATATGTCTGGTTCTTTCAATCACACGAAGGATGCTGAACTTCAGGAAGGCTGCCTTGACACCTGCCCGTTGAACATGATGGGAAGAAAAACGACATGAGACCAGAAATACCTTTAATCTCCTCATAAGATCAAAGAAGATGCTACAAGTTGAGATGAAAAATAATGGCAACCTACAAATAATAGTGACAAAGGGAACAGAAAGAAGAAAAGAGACTTCAGGAGACACCCAAGAAGTAGACTCAATAGAGCCTAGTCACTTCTGGATGCAGACTGGTAGAAAATGGTAGTCACGAAAGCTTTCTTAGTAATTCTGAGCGTGACCTTTTTACCGGGAGCAAAGATGCATGTTTAGAAATTAATCACATAGAGTAGAAGGCATGAGAAGGGGTGAGATCACCAAGGGAGAGTATGTAGAAAACCAACCATCACACTACAAAGAATGATACGATTTAGACAACAGGAGTGATAAATAGAAGAGGGCGAACCAGAGAGGGAGAATTCTCCAAGTGCAATGGCTTGAGATTCAAGAAGACTGGAGTGGTGCTACTGAGAGGGTGTAGGTGAGTGAATATGAGGCATGGTTATATTGAAGATGTAGCCTGCCACTGTGACCTCAGTAAAGTGTCAGGGCCAAAAATCCAGAGTGGGTTGGAGGTGGTGACTGAAGGAAATGGGTGCTGAATATTTTTCTAAAAAGGAAAAACTGTAAGAGGAAGAAATACAAAATGAAGGTTCAGAGTTAGAAAAGAAAGATAGGGGGACATTTTTATAAATGATCCAGGGTTCATGAGGGGGGGTGGGATGAGGAGCTGATACCAAGGGCTCAAGTAGACAGAACAATGTTTTAAATGATGATGGCAACCTATGTGTAAATGTGCTTGACACAATGGATGGATGGATGGATTGTGATAAGAGCTGTCAGAGGCCCCAGTAAAATGATTTTTTTGAAAGAAAAGGAACATAAAGGCTGACTATTGGAAGTCTGTCCTTTTTGTTTTGCAGATGAGACAAATGAGGCTCGGAGAAAAACCAAACCAAACTCACTGCCATCGAGTCAACCATAACGCACGGTGACCCTGCAGGACAGGTAACCCCTCTGAATTTCTGATCTCGCAAATCTTTACCGAAGTAGACAGCTTCATCTTTCTCCTGAAGAGAAACCGGTGAGTTCGAACCATTCACCTTGTGGTTAGCAGTTCACTACGTAACCCACTACACCACCAGGGTTCACGTGGCTGAGAGAGGTTAACGTATGTAATCTGGTTAGCAACTGCGCTCAGACAGAAAATCAATAAAGATGAGAGCTTCCAGTCTCCGAGGAAGATCCCATTTAATTCAACTATTTCCATTTAGGACCTGGCTTATACTACTGAGCCATGTTCCTGAATAACTCTCAGCATATCTGACGACTACGAAGCTTCGCTTGCTAGAGTAAATGCAATGTGTTGACTTGGGCCAAGAAGGAGAAACACGTTTATTACACGTCTTTATTCTTATAGGAATTTTGTATTCCCCAAGCCTGGAGCACAGGAAGAATTACTCATACTAAATTGGAAATGCATCACTATAATAATTGTCTTGAAAAGACTCCACCCTGGCCCATTCCGGAGATAAGGAATAACCCCAAGGCAGCTCTCCACCTACAGAAATGGACAGAGGAGGGTAAAGACATTCATTAAAAGGGAAAAAATCACCCAATTATGGATAATTCAGGATGAGCTGGCAAACACCATTTTGCTATGGGTAGCAAAGTTCATCAAGAAACACCCTAATAATGTGTATATAAAAGCAAGCGAAACTGTCCGATAGAGCACTCACCATCGGAGCTTCACACTAGCAGCCAACGCTCCAGTCTAGACGCCATGTCTGTGCGCTTTTCTTCTGCATCCAGACGCCTGGGCTCCGGCGGCCCAGCCGCGGGCTCTGTGAGGCTCTCCAGTGGAGGAAGCGGCTTTGGGGCGGGCAACACATGCGGCGTGCCAGGCATTGGGAGTGGCTTCTCGTGTGCCTTTGGGGGCAGTGCATCCGCAGGAAGCTATGGCGGGGGACTGGCGGGGGCCAGTGCTTCTTGTACTGCCTTCCTCGGGAATGAACACGGCCTCCTCTCTGGCAATGAGAAGGTGACCATGCAGAATCTCAATGACCGTTTGGCGTCCTACCTGGAGAACGTGCGAGCGTTGGAGGAGGCCAACGCCGACCTGGAGCAGAAGATCAAGGGGTGGTACGAGAAGTTCGGGCCTGGTTCCTGCCGAGGTCTGGATCATGACTACAGCCGATACTTCCCAATCATTGAAGACCTTAGGAACCAGGTAAGAATCGCAACTCCCTGCGTGTTACCATCCAGGAGGGCAGGCCCACTCAGGTCCACAACTTACAAATGTGGGTAGTTTCATTGTTAACTAGTGGTAATCTTTCGACTAGTTAGTATTCAAGCGCTCATCTTAGAATGTGGCCTATGCATCATCTGATATTAGCTATGTCTGCTTATGCTTTTAGTAATATTGAAATATCAGGGGCTGCCCAGTGTCTCCAGCTATATATTTAACAGCTTTTCCACAAGGAGCTTTTTGTTTTGTTTTGTCTTGTTTTAATGGACAGAGGGGGAGTAAAAGAGGCTCTTTTCAAACGAATTGTCATATTAAATATATTCGTGGTAGTTGCCTAAGTAGAGAAGAGAGAAAATTCCAAAGAAAATGTTTTACATATCATTAAAGCATACTATAGACATATGTATGTATGTACATGAGTATAAATATAGACTTCCTTGCTCTGAACTGACACTTTGTTTCTCAGATAATTTCTGCATCTACAAGTAACGCCAACGTGGTCCTGCAAAATGATAATTCAAGACTAACAGCTGACGACTTCAGACTAAAGTAAGCAGGTGGGGGCGGGAGCTGAAGGGGAGGGAGATAGAAAGTTACCTAAGCATTCCTCTCTTCTATTTCGATTATTTGAAGGAGGCTTGATGCTTTGTATTTGGTTGTTTGCTTTAAACCAAATGCAAATTGGGACGACTCGCTGACTTGGCAGGCTTGAACTGACTATGCTATTTCTGGGTTGGGAAATCGGGAGCTAACACCAATGCACGTCAGTCACATGTTTGAGTAATTCCTAGTCTCTTTCTTCAAATAAAGAAAGGTATTGCCTCGAGGGTGCGCTACCTGAAGTCTGAAGTGTATTTGAAGAGTTTTTATTTGAACGCTGTGGGTGTTCTACGCCCATCTCAAGGGTGGCTGGGTGAATCCGATGGAGTTCGTGAACCTTTCTCCCAGGTATGAGAACGAGCTGGCCCTGCACCAGAGCGTGGAGGCGGACATGAACGGGTTGCGCAGGGTCCTGGATGAACTGACCTTGTGCAGAACCGACCTGGAAATTCAGCTGGAGACTCTGAGCGAGGAGCTGGCTTACCTCAAGAAGAATCACGAGGAGGTAGATGCTCCTCTGCCCCCCACTTCCACACCCCACCTCCCTCCCAAAATGTAAGCTTAATTTCAGATGGATACTGGATCAACTTAAATTGTTATAAGGAGCTTGTGAAATTCCCCAGTGGCCATGGCTTGCTTGAAAATGATACCCATGCACCTTCCTCAAACAGCTCCTAAGCACTTGGACCATGTCCCTCTTGTTCTTTGAAAAAATGTCCACTTGTTTCACAAATCCCGTTCAGGAAATGAAGGTTCTGCAGTGCGCCGCGGGGGGCAACGTGAACGTGGAGATGAACGCGGCCCCGGGCGTGGACCTCACGGTTCTGCTCAACAACATGCGTGCTGAGTACGAAGACCTTGCCGAGCAGAACCGCAGGGACGCCGAGACCTGGTTCAACGAAAAGGTAAAGTCACGCCCCTGCACGCTTACGTGTTACGGAGTTACGCCACCGCCACGCCTCCTGGCGCCTTAACGCACCTTCGCACCTTCCAGAGTGCCACGCTGCAGCAGCAAATTTCCGACGACGCCGGGGCCACCACCTCCGCTCGCAATGAACTTACTGAGATGAAACGCACGCTTCAGACCCTGGAGATTGAACTTCAGTCTCTCTTAGCGATGGTAAGTAAAGGTCACAAAGCAGATTTGTTTGAGAGGTTGCTGTTGTTCATTAAGAAGTTTTCTTTCAGACGACATTACTGATTTTTTTTAATCCATTACTCGTCTTGAAATAGGACAGGTTTGCATTTTGTGCATTAGAACCCTCTGTTTGAAAATGCTGCCTCCCTCAGACTCACCCACTCTCCTATTTCTCCCACAGAGCAGGTCCTGGGTTTGAACTTCTAACATTTTTAGTTAGCAGTTCAGCGCCACCAGCGTGCTTGAAAATTCCCCCTAGATGCTAATAATTTAGAAGCATTGGAGATGAGCAAGCAATTATTTTGGAATACTTGAAAAATAAGTCTTGACCTTGAATCTTCTCTCCCAAGTCAAATGCTCAAAAATTGCCAAAAGACGTTTATATGACTCCAAGATTCTCCATCTAGCATGCCTTGGGGCTGTCAATCAAGTGTGCATACAGGTTCCTTTGTAAGTGGTAGAAACAAGGAACAACATAGACACTAAGTTGTAGAGGCATGAAGTTTGTCCCTAAAGCTGAACATGCACAATCATCCTAATACCCTTTTTCATGACGGGTTCCCCAGCACTTTTATCCACACGTGAGCCTCCCAATGACCCCGGGGCCCGGGCAGGGCAGCCATCATAACACACGTCCATGTGTCCAAAAGAGAATCTGTAGTTCAAAGGCGTAAAGTGGTTTACTCAGAGCCCCACAGATGGATCCAAAGGAACTCAGCTTTCTCTACAAATGTCCTGTCTCCAAATTCCATTCCTCTTCCACTCTGGCTAGTGAGCCTTCAGAGTATTTCCCCAGAGAAATGAGACTTTATATAGAGACTTGTAGATGAAAGGGTGAGGCACTCTCCCCTCTGCATCAAGTTAAACCACAGCAAGGATCCCCCTGCGGAGGTACATGACCCCATGTGGATTCACAAGCCAAGGAATCAAAGTATTTAAAATGGGAAGGGGGAAGAAAAACCTAATTACTTTCTCTTGGTCATTTTACATATGGAAAAGGTATGCTCTTTACTATTGGGCTTTTGTCTCCTAGAAGCGCTATAATCCTCATGAGACAAGATTAGAACTAAGATAATAAAAGGTGTGAGCCGTCCATTCCCAGGGAAAGTAGCACATTCCACCAGATTTTCAAAGCATGGGCTATCATCGAGTTGGTAGTAGGGCCGGGGCCCTCTGAGGAAATCACTTCATCTCTCCTCACATGCCTGGGTGCATGAGCAGCATTCACCACCAACTGTGCCGTCCTCAAATAGGCAAAGAGTCTAGCACCTAATTAGGGCAACAATTAATATTGAACAAGTAATAGCTTATAGATGACTATGGATACTTGAACTCTGGAAAGACAGCGCTCTTGAACATCCCCTTAAATGTGTACCTTGCCATCTTCTGAAGTCCACTGGTGGCGTTGTCTACTAAATGGCGTCATGTGTCCACAGAAACACTCCCTGGAGTGCTCCCTGACCGAGACCGAAGGCAACTACTGCACGCAGCTCGCCCAGATCCAGGCTCAGATCGGGGCCCTGGAAGAGCAGCTGCACCAGGTCAGAACCGAGACCGAGGGCCAGAAGCTGGAGTACGAGCAGCTCCTGGACCTCAAGGTCCACCTGGAGAAGGAGATCGAGACGTACTGCCGCCTGATCGATGGAGAGGATGGGTGAGTACAGCTTCCACTGAGGACTCTATCTTAAGGTGATTAGAAAAACAGAGAAACAGAGAGATGCTGCCCAGTGGACTCCAATCTGTACCTACCTCCTATGGGTCAGAGTAGAATTGTGCCTCCGTGGGTTCTCAATGGCTGCTTTGCAGCAGATGACCACTAGGTAGAAGCCAATCACTAGGATTTTCTTCCAAGACGCCTCAGATTAGACTCAGAGTTCCAGCCTTCTGGTCAGTAGCCAAGTGCTTTAACCATTCACACCAGTCAGGGACTGCCAAGGTTATTACAAGTCATTCAAAATCAAGCCCAAAGTCCATACTGGGAACCCTGGCAGAACCAGAACGCCACGGGGCTGCCTTGTTGTTCCAGGTTTGCACAGTTCTCACCTGTGGCACCATCTGGCCGCTTTTCTCTCACTCTTTACTAGTGGAAACCATTGGAATTGCCCTTCTCTGATGGGTGTCCACCACACACCTGTATGGCTTTCCTGGGTTTCCCTGTAGCTATGATCTGGATCATGTGTGCATAGACCTCCTCCTCATGTTGTTTCAAAATGTAGTGAACTTCCATCCTCAATCATTGTGTTTCGGCTTCCTCAACAAAGAATAGGGAGACATAATTAAGACAAACTCTCTATATTTTCACAGATCTTGTGTTAACTTGAAAGGCTACAGAGGACCCGGGAATCAGATCAAAGGTAAACAGAAGCTGTACTGAGCAGTGCATGCTCATGGGTGGATGTGTCAGAGGGTGAGTTAGTGATTTCCCACTGATGGATTTGATCCATGCTAACAGTTCCTCTGTGTCATCCCAGAGTCAGCTAAAACCACCTTGGTTAAGACAGTTGTTGAAGAAGTAGACCCCCGTGGCAAAGTTATCTCCGCCAGAATTCACACCATTGAAGAGAAACCCACCAAAGTCAACAACATCAAGACTGAACAGAGGGTGCCTTCCTGAATACCAGCACCCCCCAAACCGCGGGCCCCTACATCAAGCTACCAAATCAAAATGAGATGATAAATAAGGCCCTTCTTCCTTTTCTGCTTTTCTTCCAATAAATTAAGATACACTGTTACTAGAATAAGGACCCCTCTTGTGGCACTGTGGGCTAGGGATGCCACTGTTAAGCACCTGGTTCAAACCCAGCAGCCACTCTTCGGGAGAAAGATGAGACTGTCTGCTCTCGTGGAGGTGTCCAGTCTGGGAAGCCCTGTTGTGGGGCCACGAGGAGTCAGAATCTACTTCTGACTCTATGGCAGTGGTTTGGGATTTTTTTTAGAATAGTAACATTTCTTTGGTTTTCTCTGTGGTGGGGTTTCAATAAAAGTTCTTCCTGTTGCAAGTTATCTTCACTGGTTCGGGTCAATCTTTGCATGTTAAATGTAGCCCACCATGGGAGCTGGTGTGGGTTTTCCAATTCTTTGGGTGAAGCCGGTGCTCTTTGCTGCAATATTTCACAGGTACACTCGTTGGAGTCTTTTGGACATCTGTGAGATTTTAAATCTTCCTTCACACGCTCTAAGTAACAGACACTGAGGATACAATAGTCAAGCCGAATCTATAAACGCAAGCTGGAAATGAAGAGCCGGAGAGTCTTCCGGCCTGCTCCTAAAGGAATAACCAACGGGACAGCTGAAGGAAGCAAGAGAGGCCAGGGGCAATGGCAGGTAGAGAATTCCAATGGGAGTCTCGATCGCTTTCCCATGAGGATGGCGATTCACAAGTACTCCACTATGTTTTAAGAGCCCCGGTGCACAGTGGTTGAATGGCTTGACTGCTAGCCCAAAGCCCACCAACCACTGCATGGGGAAAAGACACGGCAGCCTGCGTTCAGAAAGATTTGCAGCCTTAGAAACCCCTATGGGGAGGGTCTGCATCCTGCTATGGCGTCTGGACAAGTTGAAATCTGCTGAACAGCAGTAGTTCAGTTTGGGTTGGGGCCTCCTTATTTCAGCGACCCAATAATAAAGAGCAACGTTTCTCTCTTTTGAGTCAGACGTAAGTTTCAAGGCAGCCTTTTGTGCTTTCTGTCAATGAACCTTTTCTCCAGCCTGTGGCTCCGGGTTTGGTGGGGATGGCAAGGCTGTAAACTTCAGCAGCAAATCCTCCACAGACTTTGCTGAGGAGGATTTGCCTGCCCCATAGCAAGCCCACCACAGCAGGGTCAGTGGCAAAGTTTCTCTATGTCCAGCACTGTTTTACTGAGCGCTGCAGAATGACACGACCTTGAGGCGGCCTTCTCCCTCCCGTTCTTCTATGCTCATGTGACTCGAAGGCAAATCCTCACCTTCCCACTGAACATTCAAATTAACCCATCCCTTGACCACATGCTCTCATAGACCTAGAAACGCTTTCTCCAAATCAGAAGAAAGCATCCTGTTGAATGGTTCTTTCATTAACGTCAGATTTATTCGGCATTGGAAACCAACCAGGCATCGATCAGGAAATAAACGATTTTTATTCAAACAAGGTTGAAAGAATGAGGGGCTACATTCTGAGCTTTCAATGATAACTTTCAGAGGAAAAAATATGAATAATTATCGATACCCAACACTGACTATATTATAGGCACAATTTTAAGCATCATGTAATCCTTAAGAGAACTCTATAGTCAGAATGCTTATTAACAGACAAGATCGGTGAGACTTTGTCTCATACATTTTGGGCATGTTGTCAGGAGACAACAGTCCCTGGAGAAGGACACCATGCTTGGTGAAGTAGAGCGGCAACAAAAAAGAGGAAGGCCCTCCAAAGATGGATGGACACAGTGGCTGCAACAATGGGCTCAACCAGAGGAACAATTGTGAGGATGGTGCGGGACCGGCTGGTGCTGTGTTCCGGCTGGTGCTGTGTTCCGGCTGGTGCTGTGTTCCAGTGTACATGGGGTTGCCACAAGTCAGAACCAGCTGGACCATGGCTCAGAACAACAACCTTGTCACTCTCTGCGGCAGAGAGCAGTTGAGAGGTGTGCCCAACTGCAGATCACTAGTAAGAGCAGGTGCTGGGATGCCAGCATGGATCAGAGTCACCTAATGCCAGGCTAAGAAGAACCTGGGAGTCCCTGAGTGGTACAGATGGCTAGCATGCTCAGCTGCTAATCAAAGAGGTGGAGGTTCAAACTCAGCCAGAGGCGCCCTGAAAGAAAGGCCTGGCAGTCCCATTCCAGAAAATTGGCCACTGAAAGCCCTACCCAGCACAATTCCACAAAGGGAATTACCATTATCAGGGCCCATCAACGGCAACTGGGACACTAGGGTAATAAAGACCTTATGACCCCAACTTCCTTCTGTGAGAAACAGGACAGCCATTTAAACCCAGTCCGTCTGAGATGAAGCAAAATCACCAAGGTCTCCTTCTTCACAAACAAACCAGGAAAGCCATTTTGTGAGCAGAATTAGCACAGCAGAAGTCAATTCTTAGGAAAAGCTAGAAATCTAGTGATAAAACAAGCTTCGTTCATGTTCAAGCCAAATGCTTGTCTAAACTTAGCTAATAAAGGTCAAATGTGAACTTTAAACAATGGCAAAATGTACCGAAGTATGTTTGAAACAAAACACTGAATTTATCAGAAGTGTTAGTATCAAACAATCAGAATAAGATCATGTGAAGAAAGACTTTATCTAGATATAAGGCGACGGTAGCACGTCATCGCTCACATTTTAATTCAATTCGATTTGTTGGCTTACCCAAAATATGCACGTTATGTAACGTTTGAATGCGTAGGAGGTTCTCAAGAAATCATAGGTGACAAATAAGTTTTCTCCTCCTTTCTTTTAAAAATTGTGGTAAAAATTCATATAACACAAATTCAACGTTTTTCAGGTTTGTAGTTTAGTGATCGATCAAGTTAAGCAACCATCACCAGTAATAAATGTCTGTTTTTACCATAAATAAAATAACCACTCTCCAGGAAGAAATATAAAGCTAGAAGTGGCCAAGAGAATGTACAATCTAGTCCCTCTCTAGAGAGGGTGAAAGCACACCAGAATGTTATAGTTTAAAAGAAAGGTGTGATTAAGAAAATTCAGGAGACTTGCCCAAAGAGTAAACAGGGGCAACCTGTCAAGGAGTTAAGCCCCGTGTCTCCCAGTCCTGTTTTACTGGAGAAATAAACGCTTTACGAGCTGCCCTGTCCCTCAGCTGCAGAGCCAGCTCATCCCCCAAAGCGGTGATAATAATATATGCTAAGTTACTTGGTACAAGCTTGTGAGTTAATGAGTATTTGCAAAATACCTAGAGCTAGATTATGTTAATAACACTTTGTGATCTCATAATACCTCTTACTCAAGAAACTCCAGCCTTATAAACCATGACACTAACCAGACACTCTGTTTTTCAGGGCTTATTCACAGGAGACCTGGACATGGCAACATTAATAATAAGGCTGTGAATATGAGCTGCATTTCTCAACTTACCTTGCATTGTTCTAAAGACATGCTGATGGTCCACAGTATGGCTTTCTGGAAATTATCCTAAAATCTTTTTAGTCAAGAAATATCCCTGATTCAGGCCCCCTAAATATTCCCACAATTAATCTGAGTGCTCTTCGAAGTATTTGATATCTAGAACATTGAAAGTTTACATTGAGAAAAAAATATCAATATATATATAATTTCAAAAATAACCCTGTCATCAGTTAACCAATCAATTTGTTTCATTATCACTAATAGAGCACTGACCTTGTTTGGCATGTCAACTTTATTATAATAATCTAACTAATTAACATTCACACGATGCTTGTGCCCTTCAGACTGTTTTATAGACGTTCATTGTTGGAGATAGCCAACAATCATTTGAGACTGTGTGCTGGTTTGTTTTCATTTGCCACAAAAATGAAATGAGACTAGATAACTTGTCCAGGGCATCGAGGCTGAAGATCACAGACTGCTTATGACAACCAATCTTTACCTAGGACATTATCATCGTTGG